TTAAACCAAAAGAGTTTGGGTTTGTAAATGAAATAGTGTCAAGAGAAGAGCTGGCGGGGCAAATAAGGCTAAAGAGAAGAGTCTATTTTCAGGGGTAGAATGAATAACACACTTGAGTGGACCATGGAGAGGGGAAAGAGGTCTTTGTGTAGCGGCAGAGTCACGGTCATGGTGACAATAAAAGTCTCTCTGTCATGGGTTAGAGCGGTTTAACCTTTTGATCCGCTTCCTTCTTAATGTGGTCTTTGAATCTTGAAGGGTCTTGTACAAGTCAGAAAACACATTCAAACAAGCAGGGAAACTTTTAGCTCAGGACTGCAGCTTGAAGGAGTTTACTTAGTACAACATGTAGTTTACATTCTCTAAATAAAGTCATTTACATCAGACAGAGGCTTTTAAAAGTGAGACGACACTAAGGCAATGTGATTCTTATTGAAAGAAATTTCAACAGGGTGAAAATAAAGTGACAAAAGTATGTAGCATCATCTTTTTGATCACAATTGTGTCAATTGCTTTACAAATAAATGATATATAGATGGTAAAAAACAATTAGTAGACAGTATTTAATACACGATTTTAAAATGTGAGTCACTCTAATTTCGCCATTAACATTGGTTAAGTTCCTGTGGTACTTGTTTGTGCTGACAATCACAACATTAAAAGAGAAGAGATATCAGTGAGTAATCCGTTTCACAAGGAAGTTGAAGATTTGTACAAAAAGAATACATGGAAATTGTGAAATAACTGTCGGAGTCATTCATCACAACAAATGCTGACGCACTGTTGAACAAAACAAGTTCTGGGGAAAAGTGTTTCGAAATTGGGACCTCAGCCAACGTTTTCCAATCAAGCCTTCTTAAATGCAGCACAATCTTTTTTTATTTTTTTATTTTTTGCCATGAAGTGTGTGCATCTGCATCTCTGACTCTCAAACCTACTATTTGAAGCTTCTAAACCCAACAAAAAACAACTATAATTTAAAGTGCTTTATGCCACTGCCAGTTGGAATAGTTAGGGAGCCACTTTCCAAAACAGGGTGTCCTGAAACGCCTCCACCCCCATATAGTCATGTGTCAAAACAGCGGGGTTCTCGTCAACACAGCGCCAAATGTTTACAGCAAATCAGACCAGGGCTTTCGTGTGGACGGAGAGAGGAGGTTATAACGGTCGCTAAGCGTGTGTAAAGTTAATGCCACCATGGCACTTGGCATCACATCAGTGTGCCCGAAGCCTGGTGGAAGAGCAGCAGGCAACCACGCAGAGTGGAAAAAACTTCCAGAAAGCACCATGCTGCTGGACCCTGGCTACTCTACACCTTTCAGCCGCAGGCTCGAACCAAACACAATCACACGCATCCATTTTCAGCTCTGACAAATTACTGTTTCTGACGTCGTATGGATTAGGAACAATAACCTGCGACACACGCCGACGCTTTGGTCAATATTTAAACCCCTTTTCAGCTTTTTTCGACGCGGTCCACCGTTAGGCAGCCACATACAATGAATAAATTGTAACCCACACAGCGACCGTCAAGTTATAAAGTGGCGAACTGCGTACGGTATGTGTCTTTTTAGCAAGGCTAACGATGTGTAGTAGCAGTCAAATACATATGTTACTCCATTGAATCACTCTGTTGATTGCAACCTCACCTTAATTTAAGTGCAGCTCCGGGAAATCCGTGCAGCAACTTGCTCGCTCGCGACGTATGGCTGTTGTTCAACTTGTAGAGAGCCAGACTCCCAGCTGTGACACGGCTGTCAAGCTGCCTGCTATTACAGATATAACTTCCGGTCTGGACTTTCAAAATAAGTGGACCGAAAGTGCTCGCAACTGGCGCCTTTTGACTGAATAACAACTTGTAATACTGGAACAAACAACACGGATAAATACTTTGAAATGCATTAATACTAAGCTAAATAAAGCCGCACATGATATGTTTTGTAATATTTATTTCCATTTTGTAATGTTTATTATTGCCTCACACTCACACAAGCTTTTATTTCTTTAGCCAGAAAGATGGCAATTTCCGGTACTTTCAAAGCCGGTGAAGTGAAGGAAACGACCGTATAAAAACTGTTATTTAAAGGTCTTCTGATATTATTAGACCTATTTAGTCACCATTTAAAAAAATACACATCTTCTTCACAGCTTTGTACTACTTTTTCGTTTCTATCTCTCTACTCCTATGATGCATCCTTCCTGTATTTACCTTGTAAACAATACGTCTCACAGGTCATCCCACTTATTTTACAGAAAGAAAGCGCACTTTCTAATTTACTTAGATACATGTCATGGCTTTGGATCATTACATGAAGGCACACCTTATCCATGTGGGGGAAAACAGATAATGTCTTCCCATGACTATCCCTCTTTTCACTAGCTTCTGCACTATATTCTGGATTCATATCATGCTGTTTTTGTAATCTTACGCATTTTAATCATTAGTGAACCATCAAAATGTTTTTCCTCCTTTAATGTCCGTGTGGGCCCACCAGATTGTTATCCAGCCACTGCTGGCATGCCATTCCTCGGACTTGTAATTCCCAGGCATTTTAAAGAAGTGAGGAAATCAATTATCACTGAATAATTCTATTCTGTGGGGAACAACTTCACTGGCAGCGAAAACGTTACTACTTTCCAAGAAAAAGACAAGGTTTCCACTTACAATTGCCTATTGTCATGTGTGAGAAAACACATTGATACAATGTTCAATTAAGAACAGAGAAGATGTTATGGTTTATGTCTATGACTATGATATACGTTAGGTTTCTTGTTATTTTCCTTAAGGAACAATTATTACAATTCTCTCTATGTATATATTTTTGTTTTAATTAATCATACTTAATATTCTTCCACCGCACCGTTGTGACGAAAAGGGAGCTGAGTCAGAAGGCAAAGCCCTCTGTCTACCGGGCCATTTTCGTTCCTACCCTCACCTATGGTCATGAAGGATGGGTCATGACCGAAAGAACGAGATCACGGATACAAGCGGCCGAGATGGGTTTTCTCCGCAGGGTGGCTGGTGTCTCCCTTAGGGATAAGGTGAGAAGTTCGGTCATCCGGGAGGGACTCGGAGTTGAACCGCTCCTCCTTCGCGTCGAAAGGAGCCAGTTGAGGTGGTTCGGGCACCTAGTTAGGATGCCACCTGGGCGCCTCCGGTGTTCCAGGCACGTTCAGCTGGGAAGAGACCAAGGGGTAGACCTAGGACCAGGTGGAGGGATTATATCTCTTCGCTGGCCTGGGAGCACCTTGGGATCCCCCAGTCAGAGCTGGTTGATGTGGCCAGGGAAAGGAAAGTTTGGGGCTCTCTGCTGAACTGCTACCCCCGCGACCCGACCACGGATAAGCGGGAGAAAATGGATGGATGGATGAATATTCTTCCAGCCAATTGTAATGTGTTCTTCTCTCTGAGGCTTGGCCCCAGAGAGCTCCTAATAGCTCTTTGGTTGTTTATGTTTATTAAGGATCCCCATTAGCTTTTGCTCTTGACAAAAGCTACTCTTCCTGGGGTCTGACACTTAAAACAATACAACAATAATACAGCAACATTCAGGACATAAGTCATAAGACACCCACCAGTACAAAGTATGCGATAAATTAAATTAGGGTTCACAGCTCACAAGGGTACATGGTCATTAGTAGATGGCCCTTCAATCTCTTCTTGAAAGAGGCTCTGGACTCTATTTCAGCAAGGTAGTTTGGCAATGAGTTCCATTCCTTTATAGCTCTATAAGACACAGAAGATGTGTCCTGGGTTTATAGGTGCCAGTAGATGGCCTGATGTAGCTTGTCTAGTCTTATGGTCATGCTCGTCTCTTGTGTAAACTATTTGATCATAAAAATACAGTGGTTTTTTGCTAAATTGGACATTTTTAAGTGATAACACGAGATTGCAGACATTTCTCAAACTTCTAACTGATATCATGAATGACAATCCAAGATTAAGAATTACAATATTTTATTCCAATGGCCTATCAAAATTCAGTCAATATTTCTGAATATAAACATTCAGAAACCAGAGCAGTGTCTACTCTAGACATCCTCTCCTGAGCTCACCTTAGCCAGCTAATGTTACAGCCCAGCCAATGAGGACCCAATTTTATATGTATGTTTTTTGCACAGCACCATCTCGTTCCATTATATTGGAGAAAAGGCAGACAACTCTACGCACGATATCTCCAACAATGGGCAACTCACAACAATAGAAATTGATTTTAAAAAAGCACTGATCTCTTAAGAGGAAAACAATTGTTTGGGGTGAACTGTCCCATAAAATGAAAAAGGCTTCATGTGAAGCTTTGCCGACCTCTAGTGGGGGTTGGTTCTGTGCTGTAGTTCTTTAAGGAAACCTCTATAGGAATTCATACTGGTCATATCAAGTGGTTGAATGTTGCTCTGATCATTTTCACTCATGTGACACAGAAGTGAGAGGAGGGAGAGGTGGACCGTCATGCTGAATCGGCACACTGCACTCTCTTCCCAGGGAAACCCAACACTGCAGGCCACTGAGACCAATCCCAAGAATGCCAAACACTCGCAATACATATTCTTACAATTGTGTGGGTTACCAGCATGGCAGCATGATATAAACAGTTGCAGGTTTCAACATGATGCTATTACATCTCATCAATCTCTCAGGGCTGCTGGCCTTCTTGTTTTTATCTTGAGTAAAGGGAAAGCAACTTGCTTTGATTGCTACACTCAACTCTTTTAATCTTCATAATTCCACCGCTGAACGTGGCTGTGGCAAACTTTCCTGACATGCTGAACTGATTACAGTCTGTCTGAAATGGCTTAGAGGCCACCAATAGATGAAGGAGGAATGTAATTCAAATGAATGACGTGGATTATTAACTTCAGAGAGATTGTGTGCCGGTGGATAACCCATCAACCTTAAATAAAATGCTGAAAGAAATGCCACCAGAAGTGTATCATTGGGGAGAAAAAATGTAAGTCAGTAAAAATATCAAAGTTTGTCATGAGCTTATGAGCTTAAGAAATGGACATATCAGTTGTACATTTATTAAAAAACATAAACATTTAAACATATATAGTAAATATACAGAGCACACATTTTATTTAAAGTGTTCACATTTGACAAACCTTAACAGCTGAACATGCGAGACCACTGAGGATGGATGTTCCAGAGGAGCCCTGCTAACAATGAATATGAACATTTCTTGAGATGAATCTCCACTGGCGACAGATGCTGCTTTACGTTTGTATCTCTTTTAATAAGAGAAGTGCCTGTGTAATTACCCTTTCACATATTTGTCTTTAGGAACAGTGCCATCTGCTGTTACAGAGGTAGAGGGGAGGGACACTCGCAAAGAGTGATCCTCACTACAACTCACTGCAATGCAGTATAAAAAACACCTGCGTGTTGCTCATCTCAGCAGCAACAGCATTCATTTTGAGGACTTAAAGAGCCACGTTTAGTTACTTCTCTCTGGTCAAATCAGCCCCTAAATATAAAGCTACATTTTCATCGGTTAGACTCCTTGTGATCATACATCAAATCTAATTTGCAAACAAAAAACAGATGAAATGTGGGACCGAATACTGTCCATCAAAACACCAACAAATAAAAGCAGAGATCTGTGATGTTATTTTTATAACCAACATAGTAATATTAGATCCATCTGTATGGTAATGTTTAATAAAACATTACAATGGTTGCTATAACAGTTAGGTCTCACCTGTCTAATGGCCATTGCCAGTTCCATCTAGCTTCATCGCTTTAGTAAACTATACTGTGTATTCAAATTTACTTTTTCGCTCCGTTGATGGCAATTTCAGTTTGTATCAGAGTTAAAACAACTTAACCACCACAATGCTGGGTCCTTGTTGTGCTGCAGCTCGAACATGCGTTAAGTTACAGATTGCAGCATTAAAGGAAACTGAAATACCCACTGGCGGCTGATGTCATGATGTCATAAAACTCTGTCACCATGACCGCACCCCAGAGGCCTGAAATGATAATTGCAGCAGCTGCTTTGGTGAGCCACTGAATCCCGTCCTCTCTCAGTAACAAGCATCTACAGCATCAGAAGGTGTAAAATAACAAGGCTCAACAACTAGATAGAAATGTTCTATCTGGTTTAAAATCCCTTCTTTTAAACCACTACTGTAAGCGCTTTGATGCTACCTTATTGTGTTGACCCCGTTTGAATGAATAGGGCCTATGTGCTACTTCATCAAACCTCCACTTATTTATTCTACAGTTCCTGATATTAAAAAAAACCTTGTTGTATAATTGTTATTATAAATGAGTCTCTGTTAGTTGGAATGCCTCGTGGATGCAATGTGGTCCATCTGTATCCATCTCTCAGTGCTTTGAGGTGAGGGTCAGGGTGGAGGAGACACGGAAGATCTGAGGCAGCATGTTGCTTAACTGGTAGAACATCTCCTCTGAGATACTCTGTCGACATGAGAGACACAAAGACAGGGTTAGTGAGAAACAAGGGACTGAAAATACTGAGCAGGGCATGTTAATAATACATCCAGGGTCCATGCGCGACAATAGATGTGCAGGCACTCAATTCAACAATTTTCTTATAGCTTTTATGACATGTGGAGATACTTCAATAACGTTTTTTTGCTAGGCTTAAGGGAACCATTGAACCGTTTTTTTCTTGATAAATTGGTTCAGGAATGAGTCTTTAAACCTGGGACTGAGTCAGCATTTAAGCATTCCCAGTTCCCAGGGTCGCCGTCATGGGGGGTCATTCGAGGGCCATGTCCCCCCAAATGAATCGCTGTGCCCCCCCAACGCAGAGCTTATTTTTTTATCATATTATAAGTGAAAACGTTTCCACTAAAAGTTTTTTGTGTGAAATAAATCAGAAATAAAGAATACAAATAAAAAACACAGCCTGAGGTGTGCTCACTGCTGCTCTTTGATTGGTGTGTTGCTTGACCAATGACCCCAACCTTTGTTTTGTTGTCATTACGGCTGTGTGTTTAGATGAAAGCCCAGTGGCGATCTGCTATGTCCATATGTTTCTGTTTTGGTGGTTGTGCCACAACCGTGCATGTCTGCACAAGTCATAGGTGCGCTATAAAATAGCACTACACCCCTGCAATGTGTGTGAAAGACAATAGACTTTACAGCATGTTTTGAAATTGAAGTTGCATTGGTGTTTGTGTGTTGGTTGTTGACGGCAGTGTGTTCCCCCCGTGGTAAATGATTGCCCCCTCCATTCGATTTGTTCTAGAGCCGACCCTGCCAGTTCCCTCGTCTTGAAGTCTGAGGTTTTTGAACGTGTTTTTGGTTAGAGGCCTTAAATTAGGTCTGTGGTTAACACACTCTCAATAAACTTTTATGTTTTGTTCTACAACGTTAATATACGTCAGTGAATACCCCAGTTGTAAATGTATGACAATTGTAGGGGACTTTAAAAAAGGCGGTTGCTAACAAGTGGCTAAATGAGAGGCATTTAGCTTAGCTGGGATGACATGAAGCCCTGGGACCGTTATAAAGTTAATTTGTGGCCTAATGTTTGCTCTACTTACAGCGAGTGATTTACACTTCAAAAATGATGAAAGTGGTGTTAATATGTGGAAAACATTCTGCATGAAAAACATGTAAGTATCAAAATCGTTTGTTAACCACCGATCAATATATTTATCGGCATTATTCCATAATCCAATGGTAACATCCCATTGCTTTTTGTCATGGAACCAGTGCGATGCTAACTTCCAGGTCAGCCTACAATAACTATTCTGCCCATGACAACAGCAATACATCTGGACTGTTTGTGTACAGTCAAGCGTTAACAGCCCCTTTAGTTCAGTGCCCTTCAACATCAGAGGGTCTTTTTCCCCCCTGAGGGAACAGTAGTCAATACGGCGAAATGATGCAAGCTCGGGCAGCTGTGATTTAAAAGGGGGGAACATGATTTGTCCCTAAGCATCGCCACCTGTCAAATAAGAATGTTAAGTATTAATCCGTAAGCATTCACGCATCATTCATCCACACAGAGAAAGGGCGTATATTTAGCCGGCGCATCTCTTTAAAGTGCAGAAAACAATGTTGTTTCAGAGGTGCTATTTTGAAAGTTGTCTGAGCATGTAGCTGAAGCCAGTCAGGGTCCTTTGATGCCACTGGTTTTATCCTCTTAACCTGTCAACATGAGATTGTGCTTTAAGCTGTGCTGCCTTCCCGACAAACCACAAAAGCTATAGGCATACAACATCAAGATAAGCTAAAAAAAAAACAACAGCTTAGCTTCATCCAGCTCTGCGTCACAACTACTTTAAAAAATATGACAGAAAACCTAGCTTCAAAGCTGATGCTGTATGTTCATACATTTACTTTTACATAAAGTTAGAGCTGGATATTCAAAGCAGTCCCAGATTATGCCTCAGTGTTGGGAAGCTACACGTTAATACCATTTATTATCACACAATTATAGGGATAAGTCTCCAAGCTTTCTTTTATGGCAGTAGTGTAAATATTGGTCAAGAGAACCTAAAGCTCCATAATCTCTGATTAATGGTGTGCTTTTCAAACAGTCTCTCTTCTCTGCCTGCATTCAAAGCAAGGTACTGCAAGCCCAGGTGTGCCTTTTGTGATGATGTGTACATGCGAGGCCTTACTGTAAGTATACACTTCTGTTGAATTAACAGAGATCTGCTGGCAAAGCATTACTCAAAGCATGAGTGTGTCGACTAAGCTAAGAGTTGAGGAACCAAAATGACATGTAAAAGGTTCTGCTCTTACCTTTGGCACTAGAAACTGGACGGTGCGTGATATTCCTCCATCCCATGAGGCCATTTCCATCATGAAGCCTGCAAATAAAATCAGATTCAAGTTCATTCACATATATCTATCTGCAATGTTCAGTGTATTCAACTGCTGGGTTATGCTACAACCTCACAATAATAATATGAAACATTCAACACGATACATGTTTATTTTAAATAATGACTATGTCCTATGAATAATTTACTACAAAAACTCTGTCTCCCTGGTGCATAGAGTTTTTCCTCCATTCTGTTAGTCTAAATGCGATTACTTGTTTTAAATGTAAACATGCACTCTGTGAAATGTGGATTGGTATTTGCTGCAACCTTTTGGCTTATTGTGCAATGCATCATAGGTTATTTTTATTTTTTCCAAAAGGCCAGACACTTTATACAGCACTCATATATATATGCTCGTCTGCAAAAAACGTTGTGGATAATGCAGCACTGCATTTTTTTTAAGCACAGCCATGGTTTATTAAGGTGTTATTTCGTTTTTGTAATTATACTTTTTTGTATATCTACCATCCCTCAAGCTGCATCGTCAAGGAGCAACTTTCTCAGTGTTGAGCGACTTATGTATAAATTAGGGTTGTAAGAAATAAGATATAGTATTGTATCACAATATTTTGTTGTTGTACTGAATCGAGTCTTAAAAAAACTATCATTTTTGTATGAATAGTTTACATGCACGGCTCAAATATTTTGCAAATGGCTGTGTGTTGTTTTTTAAATGACAGCTGCCCTAAACTTAAATTGTATATTTTTTTTTCATTAAAATATATTGCCTTACTTACAGTATAGCAATATATTGCACTATAATGAATTGTCATCACTGTATCATGATGCATATCATCTCGCACGATTCTTGCAAAATGCACAGCCCTAATAACACAACATGTTTCATTCATCAGCTTTGCATTATGGGAAATGAAAAACACTGTCAGTGACCACTGGTACATTTCCTCAAAGAAGAACAAAAGTATCCTTTGCTCTTTTAACTTTGAGGGAATGAAAACAAGACCTCATGTTTTAAAGAACAGTAAAAGGCTTCACAGATCTCTGCTATCAAATGTCAGCTTGGAATTCAAAATAAACCTTCAGTCAAAATAACTTACCTTTGACACATTTGAAAACCAGCTCTGCTCTCTTAAGACACCACGGTATGGTCATCTCCTGCAGGGGTAAGGAAATACAAAGGAGACAAATAAATAATGCTCAAAATAATAAAAGGCAGAGGAATGTATGTTGATTACATTGGAGTTGGATATGTTAACTGTTCAAATTGTGTTACATGATTGACCCAACTAGACAGATTCCAACGCATGTGTGCAATAGTGTATATATGACATATGAACTGGGTCAAAAGTCTCCTGTAATGTGACTGTATCTAAACTCAACATGTTTAAGAGCAGGCATGTCTTCTGCACAACCTCTGATCACAGCGTCAGAAACACATTATTTATCAGGGGGAAATGGGTTTAGTGACAGTCACTGACGATCTTTTATTTGTTCATATATATAAATAAATACAAATATTTATATAAACGTTTACTTCAAAATAAGAGTGTGCAACAAAGGGATACAATAATATAAAATTAAGAAGTTATGGTAAAATGCCCCACATAATGTCCTAATAAAACCCCCAAAAATATATGACATGTTCATTAGAATATTAATTGTGTGTGTTAGTAGGCTGAATCAGTTCAAATGTCTCCACATGCCTTTCTCCCACTTTCGAGTGTTTTGCACCCATTCTGAGTCAACAAACTGGGCGATGGCAGGGTGTCATCGAGGCCCAGGCTAAGACCTGTGTTTACTGTGTTACCCACAAACTATTTGCCCTTAAGATAAACTGAGCAATGGATCCTAACAATAGGATAGTATAGAGTCAAGTTTCATGAATCCATTTCAAGGTGTTATTGTCACATGTCATGTCATGTGTCACAATAACTACAGTGTCGTTTTGGCACTTCAATTCCTCATTTAACAATGAAACATAAATGTATGCAAGACTTTAAACAATAAAAATAGTGCAAGGAGAAACAGAAAGAGATATAAAACAGTGCTGGAGGCTGTTGCAAGTGACCAATGTGCAAGCAAAAGCAGACATAAGTTAACTATATACATTGAGAAGACAATACAAAGTGTTTCCCACAGAATTTGATTCTATTTGTGGGGGCACCGCACCCCCCCCCCCTCCCGAAAAGAAAAACCAAAGGCCCCTTAACCTATTCGGTTGGCCCACGCATCCACCCCCCCTCAAATAAGAAAATACATGCAAGTTCATGGCTACTGTAGACAACATTCTTGTTGCTCTGTGTTGCGTTGTTAATGAGTGAAACACACCAGAGTTGAGGATCTGTGGGGTTTATTCTCCCAAAAATATAATTTACAATTTAGGCATTTAGCAGACGCCTTATTCCAAAGCGACTTACAATGACCAATTACAGGGACGTTCTCCCTGGGCTAAGTGCCTTACTCGAGGGCACACTAGTAGTGGTGTTCCAGGCGGGATTTGAACTCGCAACCTTCCGATCATCAGCCCACCTCACTATCCATTAGACCACCAAAAAAAAAAAAAAACTCGTGAGATCCATTTGTGGCGGACGATATTTATTTGTGGCGGCCCGCCACAAATAAATCAATGTATGGGAATCAAATGCTTATTGTAATAATAAACAGTCTGTTTCTTATTAGTACTGAGGTAGGAACAAGTGCTGTTGTTGCTCAAGGAAAACGTAAGGCTGTCTCTGTCAAGCAATTGAGGCAATTGTTTTCAACCAGAAAAATTAACATAACAAATGTTTTACCCGTCACTGTCTGGAAACTTAAACTTTTATCTGGTTGGTATAATATTCAATTTCCTCTCTACAAACTTTTAATCATGTATTTCAGCATAATTACGCAATTCTCCATTCCTTTTTCCACAAAATGCTCAGGGGAAACAGAAACACATGTAAACATAAGACTAAGAGGCACAGCTCTGTTGTTCATTGAATAGGCGTGTCCAAACAGGCACACATCTGCACTAAATGGCAAACAAGACTAAAGAGAAGATGACACAGGAGAAAGTGTGGAAAAAGTGGAACCAGAAGCTATCAATTAAAGCTCATCTAGTTCCTGAGGCTTCAAAAGTTAGAAGTCTTTGGTTATTTAAACAAAGACTCTTGGACATGAGAAGATCCATTGCACAGGGCATGTTGTGGCATGAGCGCGCCACAGACAGTCTTAATGAGAATGTGTACTCTCATGTTCCGAATAACCCAGCTTCCCCCAAATGTCTTTTTGGTGTCTATCTACGCCGGAATCCTGAGTCGTGGCTTATCCTGTTGCTGTGGTCCTGAGTCCTGGACCGCGAGCCCTGGATCCTGAGCCCTGGATCCTGAGTCCTGGATCCTGAGTCCTGGACTTCGAGTCGTGGCTGAACCTGTCTCTGCGGTCCTGCCTGACTTTCATCATACTGCTTCCCTGATGGCTCCCACAGGATTGCTGACATCCTCGTGGATTCATCTTCTTATTACAGACACATGCATTTCCAAACATTCGGTCTATATGCTGTAAAATGTATTATCTCTTCGATTTACACACGACATCTATTGCACGTCTGTCCGTCCTGGGAGAGGGATCCCTCCTCTGTTGCCCTCCCTGAGGTTTCTCCCATTTTTCCTTTAAACTGTGGGTTTTCTCTGGAAGTTTTTCCTTGTACGATGTGAGGGTCCGAGGACAGAGGGTGTCGTATTGTCATACTGATATTCTGTACAAACTGTGAAGTCCACTGAGACAAATGTAACATTTGTGATATTGGGCTATATAAATAAACATTGATTGATTGATTGAATGTACCTTCCCTCTAAAGAAATGATCAGATTATGATGTCTAAATGTTTCTAATTCCATCAAATTCCAGCAGATTTTCTTTTCCGTTCCAATTTACATATACTATAAGAGAGAAATAATCCTTATTGTGTATTTACCAAATGTCTTTTTGATTTGGACTCATAACTGTTTAACCTGGTTTCAAACCTGGTAAATGTGAAGTTCAAGGCCAAGGATGCCGCGAGCGCAGTAGGATGAAGAGGAAGAAAAGAGGACTTTGTCAACAGCCACGAAAATGTGTGTAACTAGCAGTCATCTTCCCATCCACAAATAATTACCACTGCTTATGTTAAACATAGAAGTACAAGACCAAAGCACATAGAAGTACGATAATATGGTTAAAGTGTAGGCCACTTTGGGGAAACCAGCAAGAGTAAGGTAGAATTTAAATGTTTAGAACCAAAATAAATCCCAGCCTCTCCCTTCAGGATTCTGTCTAATACCTCATTCACACCAACGCAACTCCGGTTCAAGCTCCGTGCTAGAGCTTTTCAGGTTCAGAACCGGTTCTTCGGTTTAGCTCCGGCTCTTTTCACACTGCCCAGAGTCCGACTGGTGCTGCGTCATCGTTTGCGTCATGACGTAACCGCTTGCGTGCCTGCTTCATAAAGCCAAACCGCGCGGAAACCCCTCACAGCTGACACCGACAACAACAACAATGGCCGATTGTGCTCCAGCTTCCTCTGTACCTCTTCGGAAGACCAGATTCCCAGTAGGTAGCTGGTCTCTTCAGTGGACCACTGCTGCTTGTTAAGTTTCTCCAATGTTGTGTTCAAACTGGATAAAACGCCGGCTTTTTGTTGTTGTTCAGGAGTTGATCCTGCCCCTGCCCCCGCCTCGATGTAAGCGTGACGTATGTGGTGCTTTTGCTCTGGCCGGACAATTTTTTGGTGCTTGAAATGAACCGGATTCCGGAGCTAAGAGGCTGCTCCGCTGCGGTGTGAACAGGAAAACCCGGTGCTTTTCAAGCTCCAGCTCCGAACCGGCCCTGAAACACCGTTGGTGTGAATGAGGTATACGTGCGTTCACACCTGCCTTGTATAGTCCGGTTGAATCGAACCCTGGTGCGTTTAGCCGCTTGGTGCGGTCATTTGGGTTGGTGTGAACACAATCCGAGACCTCTTAATTGAACTAAACAACCGGACTCTGGTCCGCTAAAATAGGTGGTCTCGGAGCACTTGCTTGCGAACTCTGGAGCGGTTCATTGCTGGTGTGAATGCAGTCCGCACCAAAACATAGGAAGCGTAGTATTTACGTGTCACAAGAACGCGGATATCTTCAAAATCTTTAGCGAAAGAGTCTTTCAAGACATCCGCGGTTCTTTAGTTAAAGAGTGAAGCAGAATTAAGTGTTGAACAGTGTCGTGTCCACTTGTCGTGTAAAAATTATCCGTCAGCTACATAAAAGTAAGAACACCTGTCGTCGGTGAAACGCCCCTCCTTACTGCAGAACGTCTCTCATTATGTGTTAATGTTTTTTAACAGACGTTGTCTGATTATATAATCATATGCGCGGGCCGCTAGTGTCTGTTGATCTCCAGATTAACAGCAGCATGAGAATAACCTGCCGAAAGTGCCGATGCTCCATGGCGGAGGCTCCGGTAGAAATTGCCGGGATTTGCATTTTTACCCCCTTAATGTCTGACCAATGGTTGAACAGCATTTACGTGCACATGACTTGTGTTTAAAGTTTATAGTCCGTTTGAGTTTTGCCCGTGTGAACGCAAACCGAACCTTCTGAAAAATGAAACAATGTAACAAACTGTGGTCTGGTGCGCATCAGAGAAGCGGACTATTAGGTGTGAATGCACCCTAAAGTCGCTTCCCAACAAAACTAACTACTGTATCCATGAGACAAGTACCCCATGTCTCATTCACATATGAAGAGTGAGAAATCTTTGCCTGTGGTAGTACCGTTAGATACTAGCCGCCAGCTCAGCCAATGTCCAGTTACAGTGGCCCTATTATGCTTTTTGGGGTTTTCCCTTTCCTGTAGTGTGTTAAATACGTTTTTGTGCATGTAAATGGTCTAAAAACGCTAAAATCCCAAAGTTCCCTCCAGAAGGAGTTTCTCTCCCAACAAATCTCCCCCTGCCTGAAACGCCATGCAGTATGATCAAAATACTGAACACTAAAGCATAAAAACATGTCACAGCAGAGGTACAAAATGAATATGATCCTAAACATGAGTATAATAGGACCCTTTCAAGTATTGTATTCAATTTGGGCTTAATTATTCCCTTGAGGTATCTTATTACTATATTATTATAATCCCTAAGAAATGTGTTTTGACGCTGCTGGAGAAAGAATGAGTGTTAGATCCCGTTTCACGGTGCTCTCAGCTGCTCTCACCTCTGACATGTCGTGGACCAGCAGCAGAGGGACGGTAACCGTGGTGACGTCGTGTGTGCAGCAGACCTTCAGGATGTTCCTCAGCCCCATGATGGCCGGGTCTCGCGCCGTGATGTTTCCTGAACGCACATTATCGTCCACACACAGGTGGAAGACAGCATGGACCTCAGACAGGTTGGAGTGCCGCGAGATGTAAAACTCACCTTGAGGAAGGAAGAGTGTAAAACATTACAGTATGCAAAACTACTGTGGTCAGAAAATAATATTGCTAAATAATGTGGGATTAATGTATGAGAGATTCTTTGCTCTGTTAGTCCAAAAAAGAGTCAGTTTACATATTGATGGGTATTGATTACCTGGTAAGATGTTAGATGGATTTCTTTCAACATTTTTGTTCTTATCGTCACCTCCATTCCTTGGTATCTCTGTAAGGATAAACATTGAAAATCAACAAAAGTAAGCATGTCAAATGGTGACATTGATCAAATAAATAAATGTCTTCTCTGTGTCCAAGCTTTTGATTGTTTAGAGAAATGTAAATCAAGAAACAGTTTTGAGGAAGCATCTGTCTTGCCTTCCGCTTTCTTATCATCTTTGAATGTTTGGTCTACATTATAGCTGTACCGGAGCAGCCCAGTCTCACCTGGCTGTTCTTTCTGCTTGCTGCTCCGCTGGGCTCGGGCGTAGAGCAGCACCTGCTGAACCTCGTCCAGCTGTGCCTCCAGGAAGGGAAAGTGGAAGTCTGTACACTCCTTCGCCACAGTTGCAAATTCTGAACAAAAAGACAGGGATGAAATGATGCATCAAATAAGAGTTATAAAGCCAGGGCTCTTCTTTGTTATCATGTCTCCAAGGGTGCTCCGATTAAATGGCTGATATTCATTCTGAATAGTTTGATCATTGGTCTATATAAAGGCTAATCAGAAGAGTGACACATAAATTAAAAGAATGCCAATTCTTATTTGCCTGTTTTTTCGCCTGCTATATACACTGAACAAAAATATAAATGCAACACTTTTGTTTTTGCTCCCAGTTTTCCTGAGATGAACTCAAAGATCTAAAACATTTTCTATATACACAAAATAACCATTTCTCTCAAATATTGTTCACAAATCTGAAAAAATCTGTGATAGTGAGCACTTCTCCTTTGCCGAGATAATCCATCCCACCTCACAGGTGTGGCATATCAAGATGCTGATTAGACAGCATGATTATTGCACAGGTGTGCCTTAGGCTGGCCACAATAAAAGGCCACTCTAAAACGTGCAGTTTTGCTTTATTGGGGGGGGGGTCTGGGGGGGTCCGAAAACCAGTCAGTATCTGATGTGACCACCATTTGCCTCACGCAGTGCAACATATCTCCTTCGCATAGAGTTGATCAGGTTGTTGATTGTGGCCTGTGGAATGTTGGTCCACTCCTCTTCAATGGCTGTGCCAAGTTGCTGGATATTTGCAGGAACTGGAACACGCTGTTGTATACGCCGATCCAGAGCATCCCAAACATGCTCAATGGGTGACATGTCCGGTGAGTATGCTGGCCATGCAAGAACTGGGATGTTTTCAGCCTCCAGGAATTGTGTACAGATCCTTGCAACATGGGGCTGTGCATTATCATGCTGCAACATGAGGTGATGGTCGTGGATGAATGGCACAACAATGGGCCTCAGGATCTCATCACGGTATCTCTGTGCATTCACAATGCCATCAATAAAATGTACCTGTGTTCGTCATCCATAACATACGCCTGCCCATACCATAACCCCACCACCACGGGCCACTCGATTCACAACATTGACATCAGAAAACCGCTCACCCACACAACGCCACACACACTGTCTGCCATCTGCCCTGAACAGTGAAAACCGGGATTCATCCGTGAAGAGAACACCTCTCCAACGTGCCAGACGCCATCGAATGTGAGCATTTGCCCACTCAAGTCGGAAACGACGACGAACCGAAGTCAGGTCGAGACCCCGATGAGGACGACGAGCATGCAGATGAGCTTCCCTGAGACGGTTTCTGACAGTTTGTGCAGAAATTCTTTGGTTACGCAAACCGATTGTTGCAGCAGCTGTCCGAGTGGCTGGTCTCAGACGATCTTGGAGGTGAACATGCTGGATGTGGAGGTCCTGGGCTGGTGTGGTCATGGCCGTATCTACCATTGAGGTCACCGAGGTCCGGACCTCGGTAATTTTTTTCGAGCTGTGTATATAACAAAACTTGTGAAATAATTTCACTAAACGGGGTTCTTTGTAATACTTCCATTGACTGACGATGGGGGCGCTGCATAACTACGTAGCCTTGATTAAAGCAAACAGAAGAAGACGACATGTATCAACACACCACCGCAGACCGGACTTGTACCGGAGCAGCGGAGGAGTGATGAGGTATCTAGAGATCTGAGTCCAGCGGGCTACTTGTGTTTCTGTTAATCAGGACATCATATGACCAGCAGATCCTGTGTGAACGCTCTACGTTAGTCAGTGGACGTCCGACAACATGCACACTAACTGATATTGCAGCTATAGGCTATACTTTGGTTTAAAATTGCGTGAATAAACTAGCTAGAGAGCTAATGTGAATTACATTCATCCAATGTCAGAAGGATTACCTTTTAACAAACGTTGTAATGCTTTTCTTTCATTTCAATTTGAGTAAAACATTGAAGATATAACATTGTATTGTTTTCTTTTTACACTGACTCAGATATAATGAAAAGACTACGTCAGTCGAAGCTCAGCTTTGGTAAGGAAGAGACAGGACAGGCAGAGAGAAATAGAGAGAGTGAAAGTGATGGAAGTCAGGGAGGAACTGCAGGTACAGTCACACAAAAATAATGTAGGCTTAATAACCCCATATATCTATCTATATATATCTATAACAATAGTCTTCATTTACAATAGGCATCATTTTTAAACAACATACATCTATTGCAGTTATGATGTCATAATAACATACAATTGTATAAAACACAATTTGCTTACATCTTTGTTCTCTTTTGAGAATCAAACAAAACTGATTTTAAAAAAATTAAAATGCAAACAAACAAGTGAAATGAACTAAACTGCTGAATTGCTTTTAATTCACTGGCAGGAGAGACAAGTGAGGAGGAGCAAAAAGTAAACAACAAGGGAGAGATTGAACAAAGAGAAAGAGTAGAGGACAGAGAGATTAATGAACAGGAAGAAGACGGAGAGACCAAAGAAGATGGAAGAGAAGGTGCAGGTTATGGAAAGGAGAGAGACATGGAAAATGAATGTTGACAATGTTTTGTGATCATTTTAGCCTCTTCTGCATGTCCGGATCATTAATAGTAACAATCAACTGATTCTTATTATGTATTACACTTTCAAAAATAATTGATGCTGACATTGTCAGCCCACTGACATGGTTTGAAATCAAAATATTATCCAATGTGTGACCCCCCACAGGACTTAAAAAGCACCTAACTAGATCATGAAAATCCCAAAAATCTCGGGGGGTATCCCCCGAACCCCCCTAGCATGTTTGGACCTCGGTATTTAGGAAATCCTGGATACGGCCCTGGGTGTGGTTACACGTGGTCTGCGGTTGTGAGGCCGGTTGGATGTACTGCCAAATTCTCTGAAACGTCTTTGGAGACGGCTTATGGTAGAGAAATGAACATTCAATTCACGGGCAACAGTTCTGGTGGACATTCCTGCTGTCAGCATGCCAATTGCACGCTCCCTCAAAACTTGCGACATCTGTGGCATTGTGCTGTGTGATAAAACTGAACATTTTAGAGTGGCCTTTTATTGTGGCCAGCCTAAGGCACACCTGTGCAATAATCCAATAATTGATATGCCACACCTGTGAGGTGGGATGGATTATCTCGGCAAAGGAGAAGTGCTCACTATCACAGATTTTTTCAGATTTGTGAACAATATTTGAGAGAAATGGTTATTTTGTGTATATAGAAAATGTTTTAGATCTTTGAGTTCATCTCATGAAAAATGGGAGCAAAAACAAAAGTGTTGCATTTATATTTTTGTTCAGTGTATATAATATAATCTGATTGAAAGAAATTGAAGATAATTTGCATTCCATACTTGCTGTTAGAGCCAGTATTTTGATTTGATAAGAAAGGCCACCTAATTGTGACGTCTGTAGTCAACGCACTATAAAGAACTACAATTCCCACGGCGCCTGTGCTAACGCCACAGTGATGGGCAACCTGTTGAGAGACGCCGTCGAGGAACAGTTTTTAATCGTACTCGTAACCGTACTCGTAACCGTACTCGTAACCGTACTCGTAACCGTACTCGTAACCGTACTCGTACCGTACACGTACATACAAACCGTACAAGTACCCTTTAAGTTGTGAAGTTATAAGCATTATCACGAAAGAAAGAATACCTAAGTTGTTTGTTTTATTTGAGTTTTGCCTATTTCTTTTGAATATTGTAAAGGCCTATTTTTCTTTGTTGCATGTGCAAAAGTTTATTTTATTTTTGAGCAAACACATCGCAACATCTTCTAAACCATTGGAGGCCAGGCAACACTTCAAACTGTGAGTAATTTAAGGAAAGAAACGAGTTAAAACTGTCTGTTTAAGGCGTCTAGTGGCTTGGTGGAAAAACAAGGAAGGAAGCCACGACACTTGCCAACCTTAATAGTTTTCCTATTTTGAGAGAGTAAGAAAGTTTATTGCAAAAGAAAAAACAAGATTGTTGACCAGCGCTGAGAAATGGCTTATTTTTGTCCATGTAATCGGATCAGCCAATGCGGTTTCTTGCGATCGGTGAAGGCCACAAGAATTCTAATCAGGGCACCCCATGCTGTATTGCATAAGGATAAAGTGTCTGTTCTTTGAATAAATAAATAGGAGTGAAAGAATAGTGTAATCCTCACAGTAAAAGTGAGAGGTAATCAGTGAGTTGTGAGTAGAACCAACATAATGTCAGAATTCACTAGTGGCAAAATGTAACACTGTTAGGAGGCAAACGAAAATGTTCATCTTCCTACAAAACGTCACCAACAATTTCTCTGAAGATAAAGTATGTCCCGCTGACCTCTCTTGATGCCGCTGTAGGAGTTGACCCTGTTGTCCACCAGCAGCACCAGCCCACAGAGGGAGGAGGAGTAGAGCGACAGGGCCGTCTGCAGACGCCTCAGCTTTGCCCCCGCGCTGCTATGCTGACGGTGTTTACAGAAGTCCAGCACGTCGGCCCGGACCAGCCGCAGGTTGTGCATCGTCTTCAGCTGGGCCCCTGAACACAACATATATATAAATATAGATAATTAATACACATGGATACATTTAGCACAACACTACTGTAGTTCAAAACAAGTATTCTTCTCATGAATAATGACATGTCTAAGTGTTTTATGCACGTGGTAACCGACATTTCAAATGGCACAAAACGGTGTGAAAACACTACGCTAGAAGTGCACCTAGGTGTATGGTGAAGCTCTCCTCCAGCTGAGGCTGCTCCTCAAACATCCGGGCCCCGGGGTCTGCAACCTCCAGCAGCTGGCTGGGCTGCACCTTGATCTCCTCCCTGGGAAACAATCGTGCAAACAAGAAATGTATCAAAAACAGCGTGTTATATAGGTTCAGGGAAGAATCTGAAAGCATTTCATCCAGAAAAAAAGTTATATTTTCACATGTAGGGCTGCACCATTTGGTGAAAAAGTCCTATTGCGATTATGTTGACTAATAAACTGATGGTATCATTGGTTCACAAAGATTACTAATCATTTAGAAAGTGTATTGCATTGAAAGCCATATAAACCAACTTAAAGTATCAGATCAAATACAAAAATGTAAACACGGTTTTCTAAATAACTTAATATTTAATAAAAAAACAAAAAAAAAGTATTTCAAAATTAAAGCATTTCTGCTAACTCTTTAGGTTTAATCAACAGTTAAACAATAAATGTCAACACTGTTTTCTTAATGTGTGGTGCATTCCTTTGGATAAGGCAGTGAAGCGTTTTTGTTTCTTTGTTTACATTTGTAACCCTATATATTAGTTGGAGTTTCTCGATCAAACACTGCATTAATTGTGCAGCACTACTTTATACAGCTATGACAAATCCTTTTTTTTTTTTTTAAAACCCACTCACTAAACAGCAGTTTTCTGTGGCTACTTCCTGAACAATAGTACAAGAAATAATGTAGTACACAGTTTGATGACAAGCATTTTTCGGGATTCAGCATTTAACTAACGAAACATTTTGAATATCAAAGGATCATCCAAATCCGTTCTGATTTCCTTCATGCGTTAAGCTTTGGGAATGCATATTTAAAAAGTGTTCAAAGTGCTGACGTCGAAGTATTAGGTTCCACCCTCGCATAATAACATAATGATATTCATCATTAGAACAAAAACAATGCATACTCAGCACTTTGCCTGAGTAGCTCTTAGCCTACAGGTCCCGGTGGTGTTTGTGTTTTGAAGGAAAATCCAATATATGCAGAGGAGAGTATGACCAGCACTCTGCAGGACCACATCACTGATAACCACTATTAAGATTTCTCCCCAACTCTTATCCCAATGTCAGTCCAAATGGGGCTGCAGAGCTGAGTGTCAATCAAACTAAGAGGAGTTTTTTACCTCACGATAATTTCTATGTAAATGAGCTGTGTACTTCAAAGCAGACACACTGTGTTGGGTTATTCTGCTGCAGAAGTGTGAGTTATAGGGGTGTTGATTCTTAAAAACAATAGTTGAATTATTGATTTACATGTATGTAAAGATTAACTCAGTCTAGCCTGAAAAAGTATATTTTCTCAGAGGTTATGATTGTGTATTCTTTATACTTTTTTAAACAATATTGTAATGCTTAAAGTATAGCAATATATTGAACGTAACCCCTGTGGCATTTTATTTGGTCAGTTTCATACGGTTTAACAGGCTCCTATCGTCACTTAAATCCCTCTTTAAAATGTCACTAATTCTCCTGAGCTAGCTAATCATTGCGTTTACATCTCGCTCTGTTAAAAGCACAAGCCTTCATGAGTAGATGTACGCTGCGTTCTGTGCAGTGATACAGTACAAAGAAAGTAGTTCCTACATAAAGCTACTGACAACAACCTCTGTGGAATATCCTGAGTAACTGTGTTATGATTTCTGAAAAGACTGTTTACGTTTTTTATTGTGTTTTTGGCACTTTGAGCACCAGAAAAAAGCCCCATCCATTATAAGGGAGAGAAGGAAGAAATCTCTACGACATACAGTATATATCAACCCTGGCCAACTCACACAAAGAATGTAGACTGACAAAAAGCACTACAGGTAAGAGGAAAATGTGCATTTTGAGGCGAACTGTCCCTTTAAGCTGAACTTCAACCCCACACTTACTGCCGTTAGGTGCGTGCATTTCGACAATGGCACTTCAAACATTGTATTCATTCATTCGTCTATGCACAGTAGCTGTTAACTAACCAAATGAAGGCACAAAGCACCTGACTCAAGAGTAATTATGTTGGATAAACACCTGCTTTACCCCGAGATTTAATAGAGCAAAGGAAATAACTGACTCTGTTAAGCTGCAGGCGGGTGTAAAGTAGATGTGCATACACTAACCATGATCCTGTGAACACAAACACTAATAACTCACGTGATCTGGCTGCTGTTGGACTTCTGCAGATCCTGGTGCAGACTGATGACCCACTGCTGGTACTCGTGCTTCTGAATGCCTGTCACCTGCTTCTGCTCACTGGCCCACTTGTTCTCCAAGACCTGTTTAACGAAGTCAAACACTGAAGAACTTCATATTTTGACTAAACAGGCCCGGGTGAATTGGGAAATGGACACATTTCTTTGGAGAAATTACAAACGTGTTGTGAGATCGAGGTGCACCTGCTTTTTTACCTGTTGTGCATCAAAATGTTGAGAGGCCACTGCATTGACATCATGGTCACTCAATGTATTCCCCAGCTCGTGCATCACTTTGTCCATTTCAGATGCTTGCCTGACAGACACAACAATTATCACAGATGTCAACAGAATAATAAAGAATTCAGCATCAAAATCCTCATCTACAGTGCCTTACAATATATATTATGTACCCCCTTTGCTATGATGCCTCTTAACTAAATCTGGTGCTACGAACTCTATCCAGAGGTCACATAGTTAAATGATAGTTCCCTAATACCAACCTCTCTTGGAGCTTCTTTAGCTCCATGTCTCTCTCACTGATGAGCTCGGAGATGCTAACAAAGTAGTTGTGCTCCAGGTTGAGGAGGGTATCTGAGGCAGGGGAGTGGATCAGCTCGTGGTAAACATCGGCAAAGTCCTCGTCCCAGCTGGGCTCCTCGGGACGAGCGTGTTCCAGCGTAGTCTGGAAGCGTCATAGAAGAAAGAAACAAAATGGTCAAACAGAAAAATCAACTGAAATAATTCAATAAAAACTGAATTTAATTAAAACTGTTATTTTGGGTAATTATCTGCTGCACCAAAGTGGCTAGCAATATTTTAATTTTTTTCAGAATAAAGTGCAAAAAACGACATCCTATGTGACCACAGGAAGATATAAACGAAGGGCAACACATGGTATATGTTCAGCTCTGCTCAATAAACACCCCACCCATAATTAGTAATGCAGATCAGTATTAGAATGTGAAACCTTCTATTAATACAGGCTCAGGAATCCTCAGGCCACAAACACGGCGGACGCTGGAAGACTTCCATGTGTATTTGTGTGACTGCAGTGAAATGCAAATGCATAGTCAGGCCTTAAATTAATGTCTGAGTGCAGTGGAGCGGGGGGGATTTCACAACACGTGCTGAGGCAGCTTTGTCTTTTTTTAAATGCCCGGTCAAGTGACAGCAGAGTTCAGACTCCTGAACTTTGAAGGATCAACACAGAAAACCATATTGCCCTTTCTAAAATAAGAAATAAGAGACATTCACTCTCAGTGTTTGCGTAGGTGAGAAAATAATACTTAATATTAATTAGAAATCCACTTTTGTGTGTCACTAGAGTATTTGGTATTGATCCTTATTTAAAGTGTTGACCCTACTCTTAAATGATGTGTAAGACGCCACCACATAATGGATCTCTGGGAAGAACTCATGAATAATTCATTTGCAGATACACCACTTCATTTAAATTGCATTATTGATGCGTCTCCAAAGCAGGAGCATTCGAGGACCCTTCCTAAACATCGCTGCAATACTACAGAAACGTAGAGTAGTGGATATTCGAGCAGGGTAAGTCCAGTAGCGCCTGAGATTACCACCGACCAAGAATAAAACATGCTGTCCACATTATTAATAGACATGCATGTATTGCATATAAGTATCTTCCTGGAGTCTTTTAAGCGTTTTCTGTCATCACAAACTGAAATGATCGTCCAGGAGAGGAAATATAGCGAGGTTAGGATACCACGTGGAGTTATTTAAGATCTTAATATCCATGTTATATTATCTTTTTGAAATAGACTGTTATTTTAGCTGAATATTCTAATGTAATATGTAGAGGTTGTTGTTGAGTCACAGGGGCTCTGTGAGGGTGATCCATCTCATTAGTTGTGTTTATGGCCTTGTTCTCAAATCGAATATTATTTTACTAATACAATTCAATAGTTGTAGTCTACAACAGCCACAACATTGTGTAAAGCCAGAGTCAATAAACACAACTAACTAAAAAACTGATGTTCATCTTTAACAAGAGACAACATTTTCAGTCGCAAATGTGAAATAAATCCTAAAAGTGATCAAAACAGTGAATTTGTCAATAGCTGCCCATAATTATACTGTACATACATTCATACTGATACAACCCAGTTTGCTTATGGTAAAGAAACTGATGTGTATTTGTTTTGATGCACACCTCCACATAAGACCTGGTCCATGCGTTGGTCAGCTGGTTTATATCCACGTCTCCTGCTGTGAGTCTCTGCAGCGCCAGCTCTGCCTCTCTGTCATAATCCAGGATGGTCTCCTTCTCAACGAAGCTGGAAAGGGAGCTTTTTAGATCTGCAGAAAGAGATGCATACAAATAATACAAATAATTATCATTGGCTAGATCTATTCCATTTCAAACTAACAGCATGAATGCTGACAGTACCAACTCTTTCCCCAGTGATATTCTTTGAATACTTTCATTTTAGCAACCAAATATGATGTTACTTGTCCAACAGGGTACATTTTAGTTGACATACTTGGGGAGGCAGGGGGCTGTTTAAGAATATTTGGCAATTTAGCTGTTATATTTACCGATAAAGGATAATAAATTAAAAACATATACTGTATGTATGATATGCAGCATTGAAATGTTGACAACAAGAACTTTAAAGGAGTGTGATACATTTTGGCACCGGTGCCACCACTGGTTTTATTAATGGCAGCTCAACCAATCGGAAAAAAGTAATAAATGTGTAAAGAAAATGTTTGGGATGTGTTGAAGTGCTGCATGCCAAATGATCTTTCTCACAGCCATTGGCAGTTGTGTGGTCTGTTATTTTCAATAGGTTTATTGATTTTGTAAGTGCATTGCTGATAACCAAAATTAGTGAAAGGTTGGTGTTCTCATAATTAATTACAAGTTTAAAAGTGTATTATGTTGCTTTGCATGTGGCCTATATGGATGGAATACAATTATAGATCCATTAGAAAGGGGTCTACAAATCCCTGTTAATATCAACTGCACCTGGGATCTGGATACAAATGCAAATACAAAAGTCCTCCATCAAGTTTTCTATTACCAAGAGCGGCAATCTCACCGGTTTCTATGTAGCAGGGTATTTTATGCAGCAGCATCAGGCGTCCATGGAGGTCATTGATGATCTCTTGAACAGGAAACTGCAGAGGCACTTTGAGGACACAATTGTGTTGCCCTGCCCTGAACTCAAACACAAACTCCTTTTCGTTAGTACTGCTGGCTTTGCCTTTGTTCTTCTTCATGGTCGCGCAGCTGTGGGTCCGGGTTGGGCATTTTGAGGAAGAAGAAGAAGCAAAAAGAGAAAGAAGTTGAAAAGGGAAGGAGAAGGAAGACAATGAAAATGAATATGGTCTTTAAAAAATAGGGTGTCTTTATTGCACAAAGCACAATGAGCACCGACCTGGGCTGGCGAGTTAAAACCACATATTGCCTGAAGCTAACCTTATTACCTAATGATCGTTGACATCTTTATTTATATATCTACAGTACATGGGATAGGACTGAACAGTTTTCTTTAATTTCTTGCATGAGAATGCCCATTTTTTGAAATAATAATGTAATGACTGACGGTTAAATACCGGTTCCTAATTAAATGTCTGAGAGTCTAATGGTATATAAAAAAGTGAAGTCTTCAAATATGTGAAATGGAAATAAGCAAAGGAAACCACCTGACCCCAAACAGTACACGCACCAGTTAGACTACTTATTTATGAATAGCTTGTTTGACTCTAAGTGGCAAAAGACAAGGGTTTTAAAGTTTTTTAAGTCAATATGTTTAATTTCCCAATCATTGACAGCCTGTTGTTGTTGTTATTGTAGCTCTACGCTAGCTAGCAGTGTAGCTAACGTTTAGGTACGAAGCTACAAAAGAAGCAGTGTGTCGTGGACATGACAGACTGAGCAACGCTGTTTGCTTTGTTTTGGTGAAAATGTACATCTCATATCAGAGATATTTACCTGGGCATGAATGAATATGATGTTTCCGGCTGCAGAGAAGGAGGCTCTCCTGTTTGGTTTAGTCAGCTGACAGCTGTGGTGTAACGGTAGCGGTGTGGAGGAGCACTTTCGCGACATGAGCCGCATGGGCTTAGTATGTTTTTATTTATTATATATTAGCACTGCTATGTTTGAAATTGAAAGGTTAATAATTTGGATGATTCCATTTGTTTGTTGGGATTGTTTTCTTTCACGTACAAAGCAGATTTCTTGAGCCACGAATCTGATTACCCTGAAACTTAATTTACCCGAGCGTTTCTCCTTTGACGTGGCTGCCCCTTGCTGGACAAACATGATACAGCCAGTATCGTCTTGCTCAGAGAATAAAGAGTTTCAAGGCTTTATTGTCATGTGCACATTAGCTACAGTGTAGATATGGCAATAAAAAACGTAAATCACAGGCTCCTCCAACAGTGCAACATAAGAGATAAGATCTTACTTTCAAGGGTGACCTGCAGAAGATGCATATAGGTAACACCTATCTATACTTCAATGTAGTACTATACAAAATAACATCAATGACAATAATAACAGTAATAAAGTAAGCAGTTTGAGTGTGTAAACTTCTAATAAAATGAAGAACATGGTGAGAACAAAATAATCTGTGTCATGCACCCAGGGCCGTTTCTTCCTATATGCGGACTATGCGGGGGCATAGGCCCCCCGCGGCCACTAGGGGGCCCCCAAACTGAAAGTATTTTTTTTTTTTTTTATTCATCAAAAAAACGAAAAAAGTTTCATTCATACACACAAAAATGAACAAAATTAATAGAAGCGGGAGGGCTGAAGCATAGCTTGTGGAAAGTTGCCCTCCCATGCATCATCCTAATACAGCGGCATTATTCCGTAAAAAACGTATATAGAAATGAAGGAGTACAAAGAAATAAAGAAAACAGGAGAAAAAATTAAATAAAAGTTAGGGCAGGAAAACAATAAATCCAAATTTTCTAAATTTCTCCAGTTAATTACTTACAATAAGGCAATTGTTTTTTGTATTACAAGTTTTCTGAAATAGCATGTTTTAATATGCAAATTATCCAATATCTCATTAAATATGCACATATTTTAACACATTTCAGGAATCGAAATCTGAACTTTTGATAAAGCCAGGTTCAAAATTATTGTTTCATTTTGTAGTCATATTAGTATCTAAGGCTTTTACAGAAGGGATATTGGATATCTCTTTTTATCACTCCATAAATCAGAAAATACTGTCAACAGCCCTAAAATATCAATTTTCGCCATGTTTTTATGTATACAATGTTGTATAATTCAGGCTATGAATGATATATGAACAAACCCTTCTGTAAAAGCCTTCATAATATTGATAGGAATATAACTGGAAGGTTTGGTGTATGTAAGTGCTACTGAAGTTGAAATTTCGAACTCGGAGTAGGAGAAAAAACTAATTTTGAGAAAACGACCTTTAAAGATTGCAGTGAGGCGCTAGCTAAACCCTCCTGTTCTTTGGATGACAGCTTGCGCATCAACACACTCCGTGAAGGTATTTCATGTTCGGGGTCATTTGTTTTTTGTATAACCTTGCTTCGTGCAAGTGACAATTGTTGTCGTCTTCTCTGTGAACGTTTTTTTCGCCGTTCTTTTGCCATTTTGAGATTTCAATTTCTAGCGGAAAGCTAACCAGGAAGTGTTTTAGCACAACACGTGACGCATCTGAACGAATCACGTTGTCAGAAATTGACACCAGCCAATGAGATTTTGTTTCTTGGTTTAAGACCCCTTTGTGCTTTCACGATTGGTTGCTGATACAAAGAAAATGACCATATTTGGATCTGATGAGATTGTGCAGGAGAGACGGAGCTTTCCAGCGATACCTCTGTTGACATGGTGCACACAGCGGTCGCGGCACTTTATGTTACGTTAGAATTAGGGCTGTCAGTCGATTAAAATATTTAATCGTGATTAATCGCATGATTGTCCATAGTTAATCGCAATTCAAAATCAATTGCTTGGTTTTCGTGAAATTAGCCTGTTTTCCTATTAAAGTGCACAGATTGATGCATCTCCACAGATCATCTTAAAGGCTTCGGAATCCCCCCCATTGTAGTTAAAAAAACTGTCAAAACTAGGGCCCCCAAACAGCATCTTGCATACGGCCCCCAAAAAGCTAAAAACGGCCCTGCATGCACCTTACAACAAGAGCCATTCAGCACCTAAGAGTTAGCCAGATTTATAAAATAAATTATAACAGTATTCATGAACTAATAACTGCTTAATTATTCATTAATACAGGATGTGTGGTATTTCAGCACTATCTACATTATAGTACGATTATATAATTATTAGGGAAGCACTCCTTAAAGGTTAATTAATTAATAATTCGTTCCTCAGCTGTTTATCAATAAGCTGATCATACATTTCTTAATAGCATTTGATAACACATTAAGCTATTAACGTATGGTTGTCAAGCAGTTCGTTTTGAAAGTAATCTGACCCAAATTCCCCACCCTGTTTCCGTGTTTGAAATGTGACTTGTGAATCAGTCAAAAATAAGGCTTTTTCAACTATATTTTATTGGATATGTCTGGAGTTTGTTATTGGTCATGTGTCTGTATTGTGCATGATCGCGTTCATGCTCATGCACGCGTGCGTATGTTTTATTCAAGTTTGAGTAGGTAAGGGGTCGTCAAAAAGTAACACTCCTTCATTCATCCGGATAACTCTTCTCTTTAATCTAAAAATAAAAATCCCACCTAATCTTTGCTGTTCACATGGAATACATTGCTGTATTAGAAAATGTTTTTTGAAGTAGATACGTTTTTATAAATATTCTTATGAGGTGGTGTGAGTATTTGCCTTTATATATACAGTCCATGGTATTTGCACACGCTCCCTGTGACGACTGAACCGTCCCTTCATACCTCGCGTGGCCAACGGCTCTTCTCCACCGATCGCTCGTTCATTGAATTACTGTTTTCAGCCTGTTCAGCGCGATTTACTGCACTAATCTGGAACCAACCAGGCCGGACTAGCTCATTTAACATCTGTTGTTTTGCACACACTTTTCCGGCCTTCTTTTCGTCTGACTGCAGCGTTGAGGCTTGCTTTCCTGGTCTCGCTGGCTGGGTTTGGTCGGGGAGGCAGGGGAAGTACGAAGCTGCTCCCGAGCTATGATGGAGCTAGAGTCGGCCAGTGGCAGAGGCGAGCTGGGGGCTGTGGGGGACTCGCTGCAGCCACAGACTCCCAGCAGGCACGAGAAGAGCCTGGGACTCCTCACCACTAAGTTTGTGACTTTACTACAGGAGGCGAAGGACGGAGTGCTGGATCTGAAAGCGGTGAGTATTCAGTAGTCTTTGTTGTTAGCTAGCACATGTCATTTTGAGCCTGCCTGCTGTCGTTAGTTTACATGCACTTTCGATAGCCTGCCTGTTAGCCTAGCCTAGCTGTGTGACAAACTAATTTGATTGGGTGACCCCTTTGCTAGTGTTTATAGTTTTAATTAACCTCTACCACTTTATTAACCTACTCTAAAATGCGCTGTCGTGGTATTTGGTCTTTCTGGAAATGAGGTTACAAAGTGAACTTTGAGAACACAGGTCAACTTCTCAGACTCTGCCCCCTGGAGATTCAGAGTTTAAAAAGTGGGTCAGCTTTTGTCGTTCCTTTCTAAGCAAACGCTTGTGCATCTTCACACATGAACAGCCTTTTTTCCTGATTGATAACGTCTTTGTCACTTAACGACATCCATTCAATGCGCTAGTTTCCGGTATGCAATCTAAATGCATATACTTTTAACCACAATGAATTAGCTTTGTAATTAAAGCTACATATCCATTAACCTACGTTAGCTATGTTTTTCACAGTCAAGGATCTTTTTAATTAACCTTCCCAGGAAATGATCACCCTTCCTGCTGAGAAGCATGTGGTGAGAGTCTATAAAGTTACTTATATAAGTAGTTTGTGTGTCAACTTCTAATAAGATGAAGTGGATCTGTTTCTGGCCATTTTCAGCAAATATCACTCGGCACAACATGGGGTTACTCTGATGGCAGACTTATACAAAATGCTAACCCTTGTCCTCCTGCAATATAAATAGAAACATTTAGAAAACCAACTGCCAGCCATGTTTTTCTCAACTGAATCCAGTAAACCAGATGGCAGCTTGACCAGCCAAGCATGACTTTTTACTGTGACCTCACTGACACTCATGTTGCCCCTCTGCTTTGTCTTTCACTTTCACCTGCCCATAACAACATACGGCATCCTTGAAAATGAAACAGACTGACGTAAAAGCAATTCAAATCAGCCTCTCCTCAATGAAACAGAATAATTGACAGACAAATAATATGTGTGTCTATCTTAAATAAAAGGCTTGGAAATATGGCCAAAATCTTATATCCCAATCATTTTGTACCTCAAAAACTATATGAATCATGATATAGCATTTTTGTATTGGTTATTAAACAAATAAATAGTCTAAACTCTAAACTAAATAATCACATGGTACATTTTATTTTTGTATTCTCCCGTGGGACTTGCATAGTTAACCAACAACAACTAGTATTTACTTTCCAAAAAGAGTATTTCACAGCAGATTTTCTGAGACAACTATTGCCTGTTATAATGACTTTATATAACATAATAATGTATCACAATATTTGATTATATCCCTATATAATTCCATCTGAAGACAATTACTATTATATTGAATTATAGCACCGCTCTAGCTCAAATGTTTAGAACCTTTTATAACACATATTTTACATACTCTAAGGTTTTATATAAAAGAGCTTAATTGTGTTTAGTATTAAAGATGGAAACGTTGCTCGGTCTAAAGTCTGTGTCTTGACATTGATGGATACATTGAAATGGCATTAGGGAAGATGTCTGGGTCTCTATCCTTTGGTGAAAAAGCCTGCACTTATCTGCACCAGCCATATGGTTAAACAGCAAGAGGTTGGGCTGAGGAGGAAGTTGAAATGACAGTCATACTGTTCCATGTGCGGCTCCAGGGCATTGAACTCACCGGCACAGATACAGTGGTCTCTCTCTGTCTGTGTCTTTAGATATGAGCCCACTAAATGATATACTGCCAGTCATCTTCACTGTTATTTTAATTGCTTTTGTCCTGCCTTCAGGCTGCAGACACCTTGGCCGTGCGGCAGAAACGACGAATCTATGATATCACTAATGTGTTGGAAGGAATTGGATTGATCGAGAAGAAGTCCAAGAACAGCATCCAATGGAAGTAAGTGTTCAGTCAATGTTTTATATATCTGAGAATCGCAAGACAAGTGGTTGATGTCACGTTATCCTTGTGTGTTCGCCTGTGTTAATGTGTGAACAACTGACTCTGACTCAGTGACTGTATGTCTCTAGTTGTAACAGTAGAGACATTAATGTTGAGGAGGGTGTGTAGCCATATGAAAAAGAATTAGAATCTAATTCTTATTTTTCATTATAGAACTGACCATAGGCTATGCATGTTGTATTTGTCACTTTTCTTGCAAGCTCTTCTCACGGGTAATCATTTCATAACAACGCTACTAGTAAATAAACATGAATAAAAAAGACGTTGCATGCTCATGGTCCTGCGAAGCTGACTGTTTGTCTGTGTGTTCCAGGGGCGTAGGTCCAGGATGTAACACCAGAGAGATAGCCGACAAGCTGATCGATCTGAAGGCCGAGCTAGATGACCTGGCTCTGAGGGAGAATGAGCTGGACCAGCAGAGAGTCTGGGTCCAACAGAGCATCAAGAACGTGACAGACGACTCTAACAACAGCCCATATCCTTTTTCATTTTCAATTCAAGATTCAAAGGTTTATTGTCATAACATCTACAAAACTATGGGGAATGATGTAATGTAATCCTTTACTGTTCAGTGTGTTTGTTTAAAACTAGAAATATATTTTTTAAGAGGCATCCTATGGTCAGTGCTGGTCCATCCGGTTAATTTGGTGTAAACATAGTCGCCACCTGATGGTTCTAGAAAGATTGTTGGGGGAAATGGTGCTCCTCCAAGCCCAGGCAGGCCATCCATTCTGATATTGAGTGGGTGTTTTTCTCAGACGTGATAACCCAAGAAGATGTTAATGAGCTGTTTTCACAACTTACAGACAGGGCCCCCCCAGCCAGAGAATCGTACAGTACTAAAGATCAATAGAGTATCCAAGGAATACACAATAGAATATATAAAGAATAAATGAAAAATCTCTACAGAAGACAAATACACTACAAAAACAGAAACGTATTGACATAGGTTATATACATCAAAAAGGCTTCAAATGTATTCAGTATTGTATATGTATGTTTGATTTGGGCGGTGGACATCACATCCTCTAGGGGGGTCCGGGGGTAAGATTTATTTTGAACATTTGAAAGTAAAATGCTTCAATCTGGTGCACTTCGAGCCTAGAGACTAGATCTAGGGAATACAACTCTAAAACACCCATATGAAAAGATCGGTTAACATTTTAATAATCAAATAAGTATGTGAACATAACCAATAACCTACCATAGCCAAAAACAAATAAATGTAACTTAGGCCTATTTTTTTTTTTTTTGTTCATTCATATCTTATTTTACCTAGTTAATATTTATTTATGCATATTGTTTTATCTCCAGTTTTAAACAATATTTTTGGTTTACTGTCCTATAGTATACATTGAAATGATTTCACCCACTGAGATAACTTAGACTAAAGTGAACTATCTAAACACTCAGAGTCCTTTACCTCACTGAGCCTCTCAGCCTCCACCCATGTTGTGGAAACATCTTCTTCTTATATCCGTTAGAGCAGCTAGCACCAGATGATAATAACAACAGCGGCGGTACCGGTGCACCCACTCTCTCGCTCACTCGCACTTTGGCTGTGAGCTGCGGGCGCCTGGTAAGCCAACATCCCCCACTCAGACAGGGCAAATTAAACGTGTAACCGGGGTGAAAAGGGTGTTACATTTACTTAATTATGAATATTGTCAAGGCCAAAAATTAGGATGAGCGCCAACGGTCAAAAATTTTTTTTTCCCTCCCAGATCTGGCGCCCTAGGCGACCGCCTATGCCAAAAACCAGCCCTGCTTACAGATAAACAGTTTATTTCCCCTTTTTATGTGTGACTATATCAGTAGAGCTGTGTAAGCCTATTGAACTACTGTAACCTTTTAACGATTTTTGGAAAACATTGAATCAATTTGTAGGCTCCTACATGTTGCTCTGACTTAAGACTGAAAAACAAGGACTACAGTGTCTAATATTTTTGCTTCAGTTCTGACTTGAGAGGGAATGTTTGGTCAAACACTTTGTGTTTTGTCTCATAGTGGCGTTTTGGCACTTTTAATGAGCACCACGGTCTCTGAACAAATGAGACACACTGGCTCTGTGCTCCCAGTGGGCCGGATGAACATGAATGAGTCCACTCAGGGTTAAAAGCTCTGTTCTCACTGTCCACTTTCCTCTTCTTGGAGAGCGCCATGTGTAATTATTTGTCTCTCCCTGTCTGCCGCTAACACGCCTGTTCACTCTCCTCTCCGCTTCTCTCCCTGTATCGCTAATTATTCTCTTCACTCACTTTCCTCTCCGCTTCTCTCTGCCGCGCTCTCATCTCTTCTTCTGTGTTTCTCTCCCTGTATCGCTCACTCGTCTCTTTCGCCCCCTGTCAGCGGCGGTTAAAATAGAATCGCCCCGTCAAAATTGAAATCCCCTATTAATGTATTGATTATAGGTCCAGGTCCGTATAGGTCGGTGCCTGGGTCCGGATCCGGACTGCGGTCCGCCTGTTGCCGACCCCTGGCAAAGAGCATCATCTGACACAAACGGCCCGTCTACACTACAGGCGTGAAAAAAGCTTGAAGCTGGGCGTGTCTGAGGCTTGGCGATTTTTTTGGGAGCAGCGTGACCAACAACCAATCACATGAATCTCCCGCCCCCGACATACAAAGCAATAGCAATGTTAAAACGAAGTAAACTTGATATAAAATCCCCAAACAGGCGAAAACCTACCAGTTTCACCCACTGTCTCTGCCACCTCCCTCCATGCCTGGTTCCTCCGGTTTGTATCCCGGTAGATGAACAGAGACTGATCATACAGCACCGGGTGATTCACTACCGCTATAATGAATTTTCCCTCCATTTTTTTGAATATGAGGAAATGACCTGCGTAGTCTCTCCCAGCATACACGCGGTTTGATTGGCTAGCGCTTGTACTGGCAGATTTTCATAAACGGGATTTCATTGGCTGACGCCAGCTTCGAGCAAGCATCGAGCCTCAAAAGTTGAACATTGTTCAACTTTTGAGGCCGATAGACGCTCGCGATGCTTGCAACGCCTTGCCATGCTACCCACAATGCAGTTCGGCGAAGTTTGAAAATATCCTACGTCACCCCATTCAAATGAATGGGCGAAGCGTTGAAAGCATTTTTTGACGCCTGTAGTGTAGACGGGCCGAAACCGTGACGCATATTAAAGAGGCCCTGTTATGCTTTTTTTGGGTTTTCCCTTTCCTGTAGTGTGTTTTTATATAGGGTTTTGTTCATGTAAATGGCCTGCAGACACTACAATCACCCTGAATGTATATTTGTGTCATTGATGTGTAATGCCAGCAAGCATATTGCTGAGATGATCATTATTGAAATTGGACCCTTAACCCCTTCATACTATGGCGTATATAAAACATGATGACCTCTGTGGAGCCTTCAAAGGTAATTATTTCAGATGCTCAGTCATTGTAGACAGTGTTCTCTTTCTGTGACCCACATTGACAGTCTCAAACACAGTTTCCCTCACCTGCCTGTCCTTCTTCCTCAGGTGATACACTCCTAGCGATCCGTGCTCCCATCGGCACACAGCTGGAGGTCCCCATCCCAGAATCGGTAAGTGATGAGCGTGCTTTTTCTGAGCTCCATTGCTCCAGCTACTGCGTCATCTCATGTCTTGGTTTCTGTGTTCTGGTCCAGATCCTCAACGGACAAAAGAAATACCAGATCCGTCTCAAGAGCTCATCAGGTCCCATCGAGGTCCTGCTGGTCAATAAGGACCCCTCCAGTGCCTCTCCCGTTGTTTTGCCCGTCCCTCCTCCAGATGACATCCTTCAAAGCCTCCCAGCGCTGACACCTACCTCTCAGACGCCCACTGCTGCCCCCCAGGTCCACGCTGATCTCCATTCAATAACTCTATTTGTACATTGACTATCAAAGACTGGATGTTCAGATGTCTGCCTTTATTGAAACTAATAAAGAGGAGTAGAAATAGACCCAAGGCAGCAGCATTTTGAGGTTATGTTTAAGTTAGTGTTCATAAATGATTTATCACTGTGGGGAAGAAAATAAAACGCTGACTTCTGCTTTTTATTGTCTTCATCATGCAATTTTTAATGACGTTCCTTCATCTTTCCACCATCAGGTCTCTAAAGCAGCCTCTATAAAACCTGCTCCACCCTCGGTTACAGCATCCAACCAGACAGCCTCAGTGACGGGTAACAATGATCTTCTTTTTTACTCCAGGAATTGGACTTTCCTAATGCAAAGAAAACAAATAAACATCCACAGTCCTTTGTTTTTGCTGTTGAATGTCCCACTGCACCTGTCTGCTGCAGTAATAAAGTGAAAGGAACCAGAATGATCTTATTTCCACTCTATTTGTTTCCTTTCAGAAGTGACGAGCACCACGCCACTCACGCCAACAACAGACACCCCCGCTACATTAACTCAGCAGCTCCAGTCTTCTGCCTCTTTGGACGGATCTGTGTCAGCTCCTGCCTCTTCACTGTTTGAACCTATTAAGTCAGATCCCTCTGAATGTGAGTTTTACCTTTTTCTGAAACTTTAATCTGAAATGTCTAAAGTAGAAATGTCTTGAGGTCAGGATGATGATGATGATGATGATGATGATGATGATGATGATGATGATTAATAATATGTTAGCTTGACCTGTTTTAACCATTTCACTTCTTGAAATTCATTTTTGTTGAGCTTCTTTTCTTTGAAGTTCAACCTCAGCTCCTATAATGCGTTTATATAGAACCGTGTAGCCAAAATCTAGATGCTCAGACTGTTGAGGCTTAAAAATGTCTCAATTGAAACTACTATTTTTGATCCCACAATTATTGCCTCGTAAAATAATGCATTTTTATAAAAACAGGCTTTCAATCTACAGCCCTCCTTTTGAAAAGGTTGTAATATTGAGCCATATTCTAAGGTTCGCCCTCTGAGGCAAATGGATGCTATTTTCCCGGCTGCAGTGTTGGATACAATTCACCAACATTCATGTTGCTGATGGTCATTGACATATTTTATACTTTAAATCCCCCTCGAATTTAGTAAACAAAACATTCAAATTCTGAGGGTTTTCAAAAATATTTGGTGTTAAGATCAGAACTGAAGTATCTTAAAAATATTTAACCTCTGTAAAAGTGGGCATTAATACTTAAGTGTTTTTTTGACAGGGACATGTTTTGTATATGCATAAGGACAGCAGAGGAACTTTTTAAAGTGAGGCACAAGGGTTTATTTGTTATTTCTTGCTGTTCTGTATCTGTATGGTTTATTGCACTTACTGTAAGTCGCTTGGGATAAAACCGTCAGCTAAATGTCATATATTATAATTTAGTGACTGACTATGTAGCTTAACTGTTTGTTGTTCTTCTTCTAGTGCTGGACTTTCCCAAAGAACTCTCAGATATGTTTGATCCAACAAAAGGTACACTCATCTTGATTATTATATTAATTACATATTTATGTCTCCCATTGTCAATGTGCTAGTTACCCGTTTACCTACCAGCTGATGGTCATTATTTTCTCTATCTCTGACAGAGATGATGAGTGGAGACCTTTTAGACGACTTGATGTCATCAGAAGGTGAGTTGCTTCACACACCATACCCTTCTTTTTTTTTTTGTGACCAACCTTTTATTGTTTTGTTTTTTTTGCCCTCACATAGGGACTTATATACACAGATACAAATTATATAGAAAATAATACAAAAAGAAAAAAAAGACACAGCATACCCTTCTAATAAAGTTGTACGACATGTCCGCTCCCCTAAGAGTGACTCCTGGAGGTCTCATCTTCTCTCTGTCTGTTTCGTCTGCAGTGTTCTCGCCACTCCTCCGTCTGTCCCCCCCGCCCAGCGACCACGACTACATTTACAACCTGGACGAGACAGAAGGGCTCTGCGACCTCTTCGACGTGCCCATCCTTAATCTCTGACCCCTAAAAATATTGTCAAGACTTGCTAATCTACCCTAGTGTGGCCCCTCGCTTACAGTGGAGGTGCGAAGAGGTGCAGGAAAGCCAATATGATGATGCGCGTTCAAGGACACCTCTGCACCGACACGATAAGCTGAGCTCAGTCAGACAGTAGCTCCTTGTACAGCCTCGTGAAGAAACACAGGCGAGAACAAAACATTTTTACTTACTGCCTTCTCAAGGAAACAGTCAAAACAAATGACAGATATTTCTATTTTTAGATCGTTATGTATGATAAAAACGTCATGTTTGTATATCAGCTTTCCCATGTGCTTGTGAGTGACTGGAGTTTGCATACCTGTGCGTCTGTGTGTGCTTGAGTTTTGTATTGAATGCTCTCTTGTGAGATGTCTCCAGCAGAAAAAGAGAAACCCTTTTCCTGTCAGGTAAAGAGTCCCGGCAGACTAACGGAGCCGCTCACGCATGGCTCGAGTCCAAACACCGCTGGTTAAATATGCACTGTCCTCATGTACATAGAGAATATATATTTTGTATTACCAGCAGATCACAAGACTATTGTGTGATAATGAACTACATTTTCAACACCGGCAGAGCAATAGTTTGCAAATAAACGAAGGTTCCAGACACAAATAATCATTCATGAAGTGCTTTGTTTTGAAATATGGGAATTTATCTTCATCAAACCTGTCAAAGTTTAAAGTGTTTTTGTGAACCAGTTAGAGAAAGAGGACATTTATTAAGTGTAGTTACTGCAGCTAACACACTTTGTGACACAAAGAGCCAAGGACCAAAATGATGCAGGGATGTAGTGGAGGGTTTAAGAAATGTACGTTTTTATAAATAAATACTTTTTAGATCAAGGAGTTTATTTAAATGAATGTCTCCTCCAACTGGTTCAATAGTGCCACTGCTGCTACGACAGGTCTGATTTTGTAACAACTGGAACACGTCATAAGAAAAGCTTTTCCCCCCCTCGCCAAAATGATTTCAATTATTATGTATATGAATACCATTGTACTCAGTTCATTTGTATGTAAAGGGTCATGTGTGTATTTTTACTGATGCACTGAATATAGTAACGATGTCATGAAAAACACTCCTGTATTTTTCTTGTTTTTGTATATTTTGCAAAGATTAAATTGTTTTCTCTGAAAAGACACACTGCTTATCAGTCTACATTTTATTTTTCAAACGCTTTTATTTTTCTCTGTGCATGGGGCAGGTGAGTCCAGGATGCGTTATTCATCTAAGTACAATATGGAGATTATTCATATTTCTACAGTGCTTCTTTTTATGTAATATCCTCCTGTTTTCGCCCTGGATGTGTTGTACTGTTTATATCCTTACCGCTTGTATAGAATAGCATTTATTTTTTATTCTGGATATAAATATTATAACTGCTACTAATTCAGGGCTACACTTCATAGCTTTTGAATTTCAAACACAAAACCTGCTGCTTAATCAAAGCATCCTGTGTCATTGTTGCACTTCACATCACACATCATCTTATCTGGTCCGATCAGGAGCCAGTCATTGTGTTTGGACAGTGCCAGGGAGTTCAACAGTACTGGGGGCAATGGATTCTGTGTGAGACTCGATCCTACTATTGCCAAGCTGTAGATGCATCAAACGAAACAAAATAAAAACTCTTCTCTGATATTCTTTTGTGAATTGTATAGTTTCCTTGGTTCCTTGTACACTCAACATAATGTCAGTTGTACACTTGAATGGCAGGTTACTATAGAGCTATTTATAGAAGTCAGTGGTGTTGGCATCTGATCATGAAGGCTTTTTCTCCAATTGTGCTCATGCATTTATCAAATGAACGCAGTTTCCACATATTTATACACTCATGGTTAACAATGAAGGTATGACACTTCTGAGATCTCCCTTAACATTGGTCAACAATGACAGTCAGTATATGCTTCAAAGACTACATCTTTTTAAAGCCTTATGTTATGATGCAAGAGGAAATCCTTTACATGCATAGCAAACATACTCATAATGTATTGGTTTGATGCCAAAATATAATTTATTTTGTAGTTAAGTGTGCATTTCCTTGCTGACCATCTTATTGCAACACCCAGTGTGAGTTTAGTTGCCCTTCCTCTGATCATTTCAGCTCCCTACAGTCAAATGTATATGATAACTACAAATATATAGTTATATACAAAAAGGGACATCACGTGCAGGACTGCATTTCCTTGTAATCAGTTCAGTGAGGTAGGAGGTGGTTGATACTAGTAAAGTATCAATAAATATCTCTGGATACAGTCAGACAAGCTCTTGGCGACTGAAGTGACAGCAGGGGGCGGCTGTACCCAGCCGTACCCGACCCGGAACCTTGATTTAGTTCATCTACTACTTCTTGGACATTTGAAAGAAAAACTGTTTTGAATCAACATAAACGGCAGCAGCGTTTCCAGAATTGATATGATTTCTCCTTCAAAGTAAAAGCCCTTTGTCATACTCTTATGTATTGTCTGTCTTACACGCAAAGCATGGAACATAGGTTCAATCTTACATAGGTACATATGGATGGAAGTAAATAAAGCTATGTATTTAAATAGCGACGGTTTTTTTCTCATATCATTATGGAGTATGCGTAATAAGCCAAATTCATGCTGAACTGGGTTTTATGTTGAAGGTGCTCACCGGAAACTCTGATCTAAATCATGCTAGCTTGCCTCACACCCTCGACTGAACGACTCCAACCAACCCGGAACTTTTTAAGTCAACTAATCATTCCTGAAAACGTATTGCAAGAGTTTTCTCCTTTTTTCCTAGCAGTTCACAAGTAACTCTAAGAAAAGTCACTTCCACATACGGGGTGTTCCTCTGAGGGGAAGAAAAGGACAGTTGCAAATGTTTCTCGATCGGACTGCGGCAGCTCCTGTGGGACAGTAGCCTCGACTTGTCTTTTCAAACCAGGTAGGACCCAGGCAGGAGGAAAGCTCTGCAGCTGACTAACTTAGTTCACCACCTTTGACTGTATCTTTCCACCATGCTTGTCATGTCATTTTTAAAGTACTGCCAGTTCAGTTGTGGATTTGTTGTTTTATATGCATATGTTTTACTTCTTAAAAATAAGCTTTGACAACGTTTGTTGATTCGCTTAAGCAGCACATTACTTTATTTTCAACTAAAGAAGTTCCACTTAACTCAGGTTACATTTTATTGTGTAAAGCAGAACTGTAATAACGTTATTCACCAGTGTATTATATGTTATCATAAATGGTATACCATACATTACATACCAGTAGAAGCCTAGGGTCAGTCTTTCTCTTGTCTCTCCTCTATCTGAGACAAACTTTGTGTGTGTGCGCGCGTGTACGCGCGCGCGAAGGGGGGAAGCTCTCAGCTGCCTGAAATTCCTAACCTGACAGGACACACACACACACACACACACACACACACACACACACACACACACACACACACACAGAGAGAGAGGAGAGGGGTCTGTCAGTCCAGGGGATCTGAGACACACCAGTGAGTCAGCAGGCTAACAAAAGGTCTGGCTGTGCTGGTGGTTTTAAGCTTAATGAATTAAAGTGCTCATAGAAAACAGGGGGAAAAAGCACTGCCAGCTGGACCTTTTTAATCTGTACATCTGTGTAGAGTCTAGATGTTACACCATAGGAAATGATGTTGTTAAGGGGGAACAGAACACTATATTGTTTTACAGCACCATATGTGTGCTATGCGCTTAAGGCTCCATTGGTTTTCTCTGTACTCTAGCTATCCTGACTTCCCGTTACTGTCGTAACAATTATTTGCCATCAGTCTGTTGACAACTGTCCTGATAGTAATCTATATGTTTGTACTTTTGCATATATAAATCTTACATGCTAGACAAACAGAATTTATTTTCTTCTGTTAAACCTTTATAATGCTGTGACTAAGGATTTTTGTAATGATATGATATTTAGATGTGTGGTTTCTGTTTTGTTGATATATTAATACTTATTTGTATTCTTTTAACTGTCATAACATTCAGAAAAGTCCCCATCAAAGTCGAAGATGGCGTGAAAATACATTGCTTTGTCATCAACCTCGCCAAATATATAACAATATCTGTCATAGCCAACAAAACAAGCAAATATTTACTTTTAAATGTTAATGGGACCAGTATTCATTTGACCTAGATTTAAACCAGTAACTACATCAACATTTTTGCCAATAAATGTATTAAGATTAGTAGCATTTAGCTTAGCAAACAGACAAACATTTAAGGTGCATCCTTCATGTACTTAATTGAGGGGAAATCACAAACATGCATCGACAGGTAGAGACACACTGTCATCAGCAATAACCTCTATTGAGAGGAGGAAAACCTAACCTCTTTTCTGTTGAGTTAAGTTTACTTTACATTTCAATTTCCATTCAATCCGTAAATCATACACATTTACAGTAACTTAGTCAAGATTTTCAGCGGGTATGAATGCAATCTATGCACGACAACAATAAGAAATACATTTGATGTGTAAGAATTCAGGTTACAACACTATCTAAGCTTTTTGTTTTGTAGTTGAGGAAAACAGCTGACGCTCAAAGCACTAGCTTAGTTGTATCCTTAGTCTTGTTATAATGAAGGGTGGGGGGGTCAATGCAGGCTTGGCAGTATCCAGTATTACAGAAGACCTGAGCGTGTACGGACAGGTCATGATGAATGTGGACTAAAAGTGCTTTACTGTCAGCGCGGGAAACCCCAAGCTGTTAGAACACATTTTTTCAGCTGACTACATTAGACCTGCATCTGCTCTTTTCATTCTTGTGTAATATAATACGTTACTCAATGAGAGTGCACTAGGAAGTGTGTTTACTCAGAGTCTGAGGATCTAAAGATTTAAAGGCAGAAGATCAATGAAAAGCTGATTAATGTTAATTCTTTTATTATATGAGACAATACATTATGTATGTTAAAAGTCCCCTATTATATTATAGGTCTCAGATATACAAAACATGTTTCTGAAGTGTTTGGCTCATACACTGTAAAAAATACCAAACAGCATTGTAACACCCCTCTTTTTCAGCCCTGTTCCAAAAGTGCTGATTCTGTGTCTGTAGCTTTAAACGCAAAACTTCCAACTTCGGGCCCCTCTGCTAGATGTTCAGTTTTAAAAAACACAATGGTGTCTAGGAGGAGAATCAGGTGACAAGGTGGGCGGGTGTTACCTTGGTTTGGGATTGGCTCATAATTGCACAACCCAAAAAAACATTGGTGGCCAAAATCTGATCAGCTCATTTTCAGACAGGTTTTTATATAAATGGATCAGGACAAAAAGAGAGAGAACTTTGTGAATCTCTAAACAGAGAGGGGACAGATATTTATGAATAGAAGAAATGTGGATTTTCCATAATAGGTGACCTTTAAATTTAACATTGAATATTTCTCTTCCCGCTTGGTTAAATGGTAGATTTATTGTAAACATTTAAACATAATCTGAAAGTATCAAAAGTACATGAACAGAATATTACTGCACAATCGTTTTTAATAACCATTAGATATTTATGATTAATCATCAATTAAAGTTAGAGTTTAGGAAAACAAGGCTAAGAGCGCCTTGCTAGCATCACTTCAAGTACCTACAAACTTGCTCAGCATGCTCACATGCTCACAATAACATTGTTATGAAGTCTTTTGTTGTGTTGCGTTTCTGTCAAAGTTATCAGGAATAATTGTCTGCAAACTATGAATGTACAAAATGTTGTACTAGTATTTGTAGTAGGTATTGAGATATTTCAGTCTGGAACAAAGTTGTGGCCGACCGATAACTTCAGTTTTCATATTGCCAGCCTTTTCCACAACTGGTTTAAATCACTTTAAAAAAGAACGGCCAAATCATGTCCTTCCTAATGGGTAATCAAATACAACACCTTGTTGTCCAAGTACAGTAGAAGCCATATTTTTACATTCTATATTTCACTATAAATACTCACCAAAACAAAGCTACCTATCCTTTGATCTTTGTAGTGCAAACCAAAGCAATAATTTGTGTTCAACTGAAAAACACATGGGCTCAATTTCACATTCATCATTATGCAGCTCAGACGGATACTCAGCTTAAAACACACAGGCACTCTTTGTTTTTGCAAAGACATGACATGCCATTACCCCGAGTTTGGCCTTGAATTTGCTGACTCATAAGCTGCTAGAGAACAAATCTGCATTCACAACCAAATGAAGGAGTGGACCTTCTGCACCACTACCAAAAAACACCTTGAGTGATTGTTTTTCCATGCTTTAGTCAAATTCTCAATCGGTCCTGCTGTAGAAAGATATTCCTCCCTTTCATTCCTGTTTCGTAGGCCTTCATTATCAGGAAAGATGCTGCCTCAGGCTGAGGGAGACGGTAAAGGCGTGTTGGTGTTTTGACAGGAGTATCGCTTTGAACCCCACCATAAACTGACTTTTTTTTAGACTGGTGGTGAAGGTATGTAAACTATCCAAGAGATCAAGCAGAGGGTGGGGGTTATTAATCACAAAAAACACAAGCAGGCACACGCTCAACCTATTTTCTTTCACCAAGAGCTCATGAATGTACAGAAGAATTTAGATCCAGCTGTATTGTTTCCATGTGCTGAGAGCGAGGGAGAGACGGAGAAGGACAAGAAAAAGGGGAGGGTTGGAAACACAACTGCTTCTTCTGTATCCT